TTAATATCACCTCATTTTCCAACGATTCTCAAATTATTCGTTCGAAGCAGTTCAAAGACTCAGTCTCTCTAAACCCCTCCTTTCCGTGAGCCTACTCTGCTCTGATTGGTCAAATGGCCCAATCTGTTGTGATTGGTCTACCGCATACAGCGCATGTCGGAAACGATATGCCCATTGACATAGTTCCATATTTTGAACGCTCGATACAAAATATAAACATCAATTATTTATTATACTTTCAGTTTCAGATTCAGTGGAGCCAGTTGGTCCAAATAAAGTGGGTACTGGGCCATCTTTCAAGAGCAAGCGTTTTGTAAATCCCGCGTTGAACTTCCATAGATAAGAGAAGCAGTCATCACTAAAATGGCGGGAACACAAAAAAGATTGGGGTTGTACTGCTGGAAAAAAATTCATTTTAAAGTGCCCCTACATGCAGTGTGTAACACAGCTCTAAGTGAATGAAAACATCCTGCAAAGTTTTAAATCTGAAAGTGCACCGTGTATAAAGTTATTGTCTCTCAAAAGAAAGTCGACTCTGAATCAGTGAAAGGAGTCGTTTTTAAAACGAATCCCAAGCCGTTTCATGTTGACGTCAACATGAAACATTAGCATATTGCCCGCCCACTTGTTGGTCTTTTCGCGTTGGTCTGAATGGAAATGCAAATTAATTATTTGCCACTAGGTGCCGCTATTGGAGCGGTAAAATAGCAGTTTCCCCGGTAACGCTGTACACAAAGCAGCATTGCGCTCACAAACGCTGTATTATCAGGCATTACAGGCATGATGAAATGAAAATGAGACCAATCGGACCAAGTTTGTGAGTCATTGAGCAAGTAAGGTAAAAATAAACACATATTATAAGATAATGAAAGTGTTTTTTGACCTTGCATGCATGTCAACCTGTTGTTGGGGACTCCCAAAACCAAAATATGAACCTTTCATTACCCATAATAGGGGCACTTTAACCGCAGCCTCATCTTTCAGAAGTGAAAATAAAATTATTTTACTTTCACAACATCTTGACATGATGTTAACCACACGAACAAGCAACAGTGTTTGAGGGCGGGGTTAAGTTGTTCGTGGCCGGCCAACGAACATAAGCGGGCAGTAGGCAAATGTGTTACCATGTGACGTGTAGCCATCACAGAAGCAGGATTTGAATAACTGAAAACTCGTGTAGGCTGTTCAGAGTTTATTCTTTTGTCTGGGAGACAATAAATACAAAGTTCTGGCATGAAACTCTAGATGGCACAGTCCAATAGATCTAACTCAATATGACAATGACATCATCTTATGTCACAGCTGATTGGTTCTCTCCTGTATCGGTAGCCAATGAGCTCGCTGCTCAACATTAAAATACTTTGCTAGTGTTTGCTGTAGCAAACACTAGCAACATTAACCCCCACCTTCCCCAGCTCCACCTGTATAGATCTGCTATGGGGTGATCATATATGCTATGGGGGTTATTCATATCTGTTATACGTGCAGCAGCAGTATTTCTTACATGCTCACAGCAGCATGTTGTGGATGTATTGGCAGTAGCAAGTCTGTACTTGCTCTGCCACAGTAGCAGCAGCAGCAGCATAGCAGATTTATTCTGCCAAGACCAAATACGTTAACATAGTCATGTACATTACCATGCCAATTCCTCCGATAATTGTCCTGACAGAACTTTATTTATCATGCACTTTTCTGTACAACTTTGCAGATCGTTTACATTCACATACAGCTACATTACACCTGGATGGGTGCCTAGATCGGATAATTGTTGCAGTGATGGACTTCTGCAAGTTTCTTCCATCTCCATACAGGATCTCTGGAGCTCAAACAGAGTGGTCATCATGTTCCTGGTCACCTCTCTTACCAATATCTTTCTTTTCAAATTGCTCAGTTTGGCCATGTAGACAGCTCTAGGAAGAGTCCTGGGTTGCGTTTTCTAAAAGCATAAGCCTAAGTACATCATAGAGACTATTGGTTCCAATTAGTGCCTTACAATGCTTTTGGGAAACACAGCCCTGGTTGTTCAAAAATATCAACCATTTAAGAGTTATGGAGGCCATTCTGCTCTTCAGAATTTTCAAAGCAGCAGAATTTTTTTGTAGTCTTTCCAAGATCCATCCCTCATCATATCTCTGGTCTCTGCTGGCAATATCCTTTGACCTCATGGCTTGTTTTTTGCTCTGATATGCATTTTCTGCTTGTAGACATTATTTAGACAGGTGTTTGCTTTTCCAAATCATGTCAAATCAATCAAATTTACCTCAGGTGGACTCTAATCAAAGAGTAGAAAGATGCCAAAGAGACATGAAATGCACATGAACTGTATTTGTGTGTGTGTGTGTGTATATATATATATATATATATATATATATTTGATAATATTTACATTTAGGATGCAAGGTTGTATGTTAAAAAATCTGATGAATCTATAATGTAAACATTTTTCAATATTTAAAGAATAACAAAACAAGGTTTCAGGAAAATGACCTTGGAATTGGCCACTGTTCAAATTATGCACAGAAGAAAGCATCCCATCCACCACACTGAAAAGCAAAGCCTGTGTCAGTATTTCTAGGCTGATGCATCATCTCACAAACATCGCTTTGAGACTGATATTTAATCAATCTCTGGATAGCTGCCAGTTTCTAAGATCTCATCTGATGGGTCTAACCTGACATTCCACACAGATAATCCTGTTTTGCCGTTTTCTTCACAGCTCCACTGTAATTTATGGTTTCGACACACGCGGCACATAATAGGCAACTGTCTCTGCAGAGACAATAGCAACTTGTGTGACATTCTTTCTAATGTTTCCATTGCTTTTCACTCCATTTCCAGATGGAGATCATGCCTAATGAAAAGTTTAATGAGAATCTTCTTTGCCATTTGACTTTTTGACACTCTACAGATCCTCATCAGCCATAGATTTCAATTTAATTGTCAGCCACTGACATTTATGGGAGCAAACAGCGCTCAGTATTCATTTGAATAGCAGCCTCTTTTCAACAGCACACCATATATTGCACATTATATAGCTATGTTTTATTTATGTAGCACTCTTATAGTTTTATGTGCACTGAAGTCAGAATGCCCCCCTGGTAATAATATACTAGTGTCTTCCATCTGCATTCTCTTCTAAGCCAGTGGGCAGTAACAAACTGAGAGACGATTGCATCTATTGCATCTATTCAGAGCCATTTTTTTTTTTTTGCTTTTTTTTTAATCATCAAATTTAATTTTGCAGAATTGAAGGGCCATGATTTAATAGCACAACCGATTTATCTTGTCAGTTATTTTAGTGAAATTTAGATTCACCAGATTGTTATTGTCACCAGAGCACTAGTCTCATGGATCCAAACATCAGCAATGGTCCATATGGAAGCATATTCCAAGAATCCAATCCATTCCATGGCCAAGAATCACCCAATTTATGCAGGTGGGGGCCTGTATGAAATGCAATTTTAATTGCATTTACTGCCCTCAGCAGTCTATTGCCAAATGGTGAGTCATTCCAAAAGATCAGATATCACAAATCAAAAATTCATATGCACATTATGGCCTCTACTAAGATTGATTATACACTAAATTGTACAAATGTTTATACACAAAATTAAAAATACAATATTATTTACATAAGTCTGAAATACACATAACACAGTTTTGGTTCTTAGTTCATTTCAAGTTTCACATGATAAATAACTACACATGGATGTGACAAATGTAAAACTTTTTCTTTGTGTCTTTTGCTTGTTCAGTCTGCAGTGGAGATTGTGTGTGTGTACGAAACATAAAAAACACCATCAACACCTGCAATGTTGTTTCTTATTTATCATATCTGACAAATTAATAAATTAGACAGCATGCCCGGTTAAAGAAGTCACCTCTCCCCACTGATATATGTTGCAATCTAAAGCCCATAATAATTACTTATAAACGTTATTGTGGTGTCAGAGCAACACATTTCCAGTGTTTACTCCCATTTCCTTTAAAAGCTTCTATCACTTATAAGGATGCTTCTTTTTAGCCTATGACACCTTGCGCATTGGCATGAATCCCAGTGCTGTGAGCTTTCATTTGGAGGTGAAATCAACTAAAACACTTCACAAAGTAAAGTTGTATATATTATAAAAGCTCCTGTCCTTGAAACTCTCACAAATGTTTGGTTAACTTTCTAATCACAGTTGATTAGATTTTTCGAGACCATAGACCACTTTACTTTGTGCAAGGTGTCATAGGCTAAAAAGAAGCATCCTTATAAGTGATGGAAAGCGTTCCTGGCCACCCTGGTTTCTACCATAATTTGAGGAGAGCAAAAAAAAAAAAAAGATCCCACTTTATATTACAGTAAGTGGCCTTAACTACTATGTACTTGCATCAAAAATAAGTACAATGTACTTATTGTGATCATGTACTTGCATCAAAAATAAGTACAATGTACTTATTGTGTTCATATTATATTGCAAAACACTTCTGCTGCTATTGAGGTGGGATACGGGTAAAGTTAGGGACAGGTTTGGTGGTATGGGTTTAAGGGAGGGTTAAGGTATAAAGGGATGGGTCAACAGTGTAATTATAAATGTAATTACAGAAATTAATTACAGATGTATTTACATGCAGGTATTTTTAAAAATATAAGTACAATGTAATATAACTGCATTGTATTAAATGATTAATTTAAATATAAGTACATAGTAGTTAAGGCCACCTAATATAAAGTGGGATCTTTTTTTTTTTAGCTCTCCTCGAGCTATGGTAGAAACCAGGGTGGCATGGTGGCTAAGTGGATAGTACTATCACCTCACAGCATGAATGCTCGAGTTCAAGACCTTTTTTTACTTGATGTTTCATTTAAGGTGGAATTATTGTTTCACAGTCATATCTGGTTAGATACATTGGCTAAATCAACTAAAATAGCAACTGACATTGCGAGAAAAAAAATTACTCCACGTTTTCTGTTATCTTGACCATGACATCTAACACTTAACCATTTCTGTTTTTAGGTGTCACAACTGTCCTGACCATGACGACACTGAGCATAAGCGCCCGGAACTCACTTCCCAAGGTGGCCTATGCAACAGCTATGGACTGGTTTATGGCAGTGTGCTATGCTTTTGTCTTCTCTGCTCTCATTGAGTTTGCCACTGTCAACTACTTCACAAAGCGCAGCTGGGCCTGGGATGGTCAGAAGGAGGCCCAGGAGATGCGGGTAAGATAGATCTGGTTTAATACACTAGAAGTAGGCTGTCACAATGCTGTGAAAGTACAGCAATACCTGTACAGTTGTGTACAGTGCTTATATTCTATAATACCATGTCATAGAGATAATGGATGTGCTATCATTTGAAAAAAAATCTGAAATAATTTTTTTTTTTTTTTTTTGAAAATGCAGAACGCTTTACTAAAGCTTGTGTACTTTTAGAGTGTTTCTCAGTGTGATCAATCACCATTTCATTTTCCAGTATCGATTTTCTTTACAAAGTTACTCCCCACAATAAGCAATAAATATTCAGCACATAAATCCTAAACTAATGTGGGCTTTCTTGTTAGCAAGCTTGTCACTATTGTGGTTATTCCTGTTCAATAAGTTTGAGGCTGCCAACCGTCTCTCTCTCGCTCTCCCCACTGCTTTTGCTTGCTCTTGATTATTGCCACCCTCTGTCCTGGCCCTGATAACCTCTGAAAAATGAAGTGCTCAGAGCTAATGGATGGGAATTTCCACAGAGAAAGCTCGGCGAGGTGCCGTATTGCTCACAATATGAGGAGATATTGTACCTGTAAACCGGTAATATAAATTCCTGTTTCGTTCTGTTGTTCTTCTTCAAAAATACTTCTTAATTAAATGTTCAATAGAATGGAAATTTTGTGTTTCTGAGGAAAGCATGGAGACAAGCTGCACTTTCTCTCACAAGATAATACAATGCAAATCTGATAGCACATATAGACTTGGACATGGAAGTTAAAGTCGCTGTTAAAAATGTGGCAAGGAAGCTTAAAAGTTACAATTTTTGTTGAATAAAAGTTAATAAACAATTTAGTTTAAAAGCATCTGCTAAATGCATAAATGTAAATTATATATGTAATATAGGCTAATTGTTACGGAGTGAACAGAGGAAGCTTGCAGATCCATATGCAAATATTTATTTAAAGACGTGGTCAAAACAGGCTATGGTCAACAACAAAAACAAGTATGGAACCGGCAAGACGAAAGGGAAATCCAAAGACAGGCGAGGGTCAATCGACGGCGAACGTAATCCAGAGGGCGAGGCACACGGGTAATCCACAAACAGGAAATAGTTCAGGCAAGGTACAAACACAGTCCGAAACAGCCAGACAAAGGGATAATCCAAGACAGACTAAAGTCCAAGGCAGGCAGAGAGCAGACAGGACGAGATAAGCAGTCTAGAATAAAGACACGGATTACACAATGAACAAAACTAGAATAGACTTTGGAAACTCGGAAAGTAGCTATCACTAGGAGAGCGATAATCGCTAAACAATACTCGGTCTGAGTGGGTGTAGGGTGTGTGATTGTCTACAGGTGAGGGTGTAATCAGTGAAATGGAACATGGGAAATGTAGTCCGGGGTGACATGTAACAGTCTGTGTAATAGGAGAGTCAATGTAATGGAAGGGCAACCTCTGGTGGCAATCGGATGGAAGGCCACGGACAGGATTCGTAACACTAATAGACAGTGATGCACACAAGTGGTAACCAAACTAAAAAAAAAATGTGCTGGATAAATAAGTTCAGGTCACTCATTTGCGTACCGTCATGGTTGAGAGCTGTTAATGCACAATCACTGTTTTAGATCAACTAACTGTAATGCTGTATAAGATTTCCATTTAAACTGAAAGCATAGGCTACTGTATGCGCTGCCGTTTTACTCAGAGTAAAACGTGAAACTGTGACACTTCATTCACTGCCGTGTTTCACTTGGTAGTGCTAAAAGTGCAAGCATATGCACTTTTGCTAAGCAAAGTGCATATGCTTACTTGCCAGCAACCTGCCAAAATAAAAGCTTGCTAATTTTAGGTTTGAAAATGATAAGAATTAATATTAAAAATAAATAAATAAATAAAAAATACATTGAAATATTTTTATTGTAAGTGTGCTATAAAATAAGTGTATTTTTATTTAATACTCTTTTTTTATTTTAAAATAGTATTGTCGCACTGTATTTATTATTTTTTATTAAAAAAGCAAAATAAATAAAGTGTAATAATACTATTATTAATCATTTTATTTTTATAGGTTTTTTTAATGGGTTACACTATGTGCAGTGTGAGGACCAAACCAAATCTCCAGGTGCTTTCATGAGAACCAGACTGAAAAATGTGCATCCCTGTTAATAGAGTTTAATTAAAGCAGTTGACATATATGCATAAATTAAGAAAATTTCAATTAAAAAAAATTACAAACAGTTTTTGCATAATATTTGAAAACATTTGAAAGCAGAAAGTGTATATTATCATCAGACTTACTTTGCCAAATGGATTCTGTCACCATATTGTGTGGCTGTGCTTGTGGTCTCATACTTCATAAATCAAGTGAAGCTACTGATAGTTGGTTATGTGCAACAGGCTTCACTACACTTCTGTAATGATGGGTAGGCCCTTGGCCTTTTGTGCCACTGGTACACCCAAAGGAAAGCTATTGGCTGCTTTGAGACAGTTTAAAATTGCTGGACCTTTGAGATAGAAGAGAACTTAATGACTATTTATAGCCCAAAAGAGAATGATCGAAAACAGAAGAAAGCACACAGATGAAAGATAAATTGAAAACAGGCTCACTGGGGTCTTTGGCTAAAGAAAAAGCCAAAAACTGATTTGTTATTGTTAAAAAGAAAGAAAAGAAAAAAAAAGAGCAGCACAAGCAACAGAGACAATCGGGAAGAATGAGAATACGTTTGTAAGGAAAGGAAAAGAGAATGATTAGAGGAACCAGAAATGGGTTGGTATTGAACACTGATGAGAATTGAACTGTTGAGATCTCATCTCATTTGCTTTACCGCAAGGGTTGGCAGGGTCACATGGTCACTGTTGAGCAAGTGGTGTGATAGCAAGAACATGAGAGGTGACTAACTGCAGATGTTATCTAACACAATTCGCTCTATACTGGATACTGGTTACTGTACTCATTCCTAACTGTAATTCGGATCGAGTTGGACACTGACCATAATGCTCTCTGAGGTTCACTTGTCTTTGGAGCAAAGATTGTCATTACAGATCGGGGTTGGTGTGATTTACCTTAGTGGGGAGAAGGTCCTTCACCGGGCGTTTGCTCTTTTAAAGTCTCACCACTGTTGACAGTCGCTCTCAACTGTTGGTGATAAGTGTAGTAGTAACATCTGATTACATGATACGAATACTGTAGCAAACTTTAAAAAAAATGAAAAAAAAAAAACACACCCAGACAACTACTAATAACACCCTAGCATTGTTGCATATAATTTTTCCATGAGTAGACACTGCTCATATTTAGTTCATAAAAAAGGTTTCGTTCAGAAAATACAGTTGCATATTATTATTGTTGTTAATTAATCCAATGGTTATAGGTGTAAAATGGTCACTGTAATGTGGAGTACAGTGTTACTATGGTAATTATAATGCAGTGTCACAAAGACATTACTAAAAATGTCTAAAAATGATTTG